CCAATGTGTGTTTTATAGCGCTAGCTATGTGAAGCTTATTGCATCGCTTATCCCTTGAGCTGTTACGATTTGTAACTGGTGGTGAGAGCAGCCATAACTCTTTGTTACAAGAGTAATACGAGACACCGCTACGCAGTAAGATCCAAAAAGAAGGTCATCATGCTATGGCCATTTTTGCCTGCGTTTCTTGTGGCACTCCAGCAAAAAAAAAACATTGGGGGCCAAGCCAACAATAGGAGGAGGCCCAACTCAACATTTTGGGGGGGGGGGAGGGGGCAGGGCCCTCGGAAAAGAATACAAGGCGGCACACGTGGACTCTCATCCTGCTTGAAATCTAACAATGCGGACAGGGGTGTATCCTGAGGGTGGATGGAGAAGACATGGGGCGATGCCAACCACGCATTGGGCCACTCATGAGCCACCCCCCTGGGCCACAACAAACCTTGGTTTTCAAACCATATAGACCTTATTTCCAAGAGGCACCAAACTCCAGGGACACCGGAAGAGTCCCGAATTTTCACTTTCTGGGGGCATCAAGCACTAGGAGCACTTCTTTGTATGTGCCTTGTTCGTTTGGCAAAATCTTCGATCGGCCCTTTTGGCAAGGAACACTAAAACATCCTTTCCAGCACCATAGTCTTTATTTTCAACAGGCGCCAACTCCAGAGGGTACCGCGAAGGGCCGCAGACATTCATTCTCAAGAGCCACAACAATGTTGTGCTTTCCACCCCTAAACAAAATCCTAGAACAGTTCCTTAGGCAAGGTGCACCAAAACATTTATTTGAACGCACTATGATCTCTATTTTCGGGGTGCTTCGTGCGTTTCACCGCGACAAGATTCCTGATCGGTCCGTTCTTCGACGTTAGGCAAAGTGGCACCAACATTTCTCATTTTGAGGAGCCATTACCTTCAGTTTCAAGAGACACCCATTTTCAGGGGGCACCTCAAATTGCTCCAAAAAAATTATTTGTAATAGACAACAAATTTCGGGGAAAATTGCAGTAACTGCGGCGCTCCATTGACGAAATTACGGATCAGCCCATTTGGCGACCAGGCACCAACAATTTTATGTTGGGGGCATCATAACATTTATTTTTAGCAGGCACCAAATCCAAACGGTCATTTCAAGGACTCCGACATCTTCATCTTAAAAGGGCATTAAAATCAGGGGCTGCACAATTTCTGTGCCTTTACCTTGACGAAATCCTTAGTCCTCGTCCTTAGTCCTTAGCCTCTCGTCGAAGAGATGCCTGATGCCTTCATTTCGGGCATCACGACCTGTATTTTGAAGAGGCACTCAGTTCTAGGGGGCACGACGAGGGCCTCCAAGCCCTAAAATTTTATGTGATGGCAAACTCTAGGGCGCACAAATATTGACCCCTTTTCATTTTTACGATGAACCAAGGGCATCACTACGGTGGAACAGAGACACTTGGCCTGCCTTAGGTCTTTAAGTCATGAGGCCCCGAGCAGCCCTTTGGGCCCGAGGGAACAACGAACAAGGATCCAATCGAAGGATCCGTAGGGCGGGCCAGGGAATGTGGGGACCTCAGCCAGTGGGTCATACTCCGTCTCGCGCCGGTCTTGGCCCTGCGGCCTCTTTCCAAACTCGGGGCAGGGCCGGGAACGCAAATGTTTATCCAAAAGATTGTGCAATGGTCCGGCCCCTGTGCCGATCAGGGGCTCACAGCGCCGAAAAAGGCGAACCGCGTCGGAAATAAGCCCAAAGTCGGTCATGGATACATGTGCTGGACAGGGATAGAAGCGAGACCTAGAATGTCAAAAGGCTTCTTGCGTTGGTCAATACCCTTTTGCTAATGACAGGAGACATGAAAAATGATGATACAATGATCTACACTCACAACGAAGCTGTGGCTTGTGCCAGTCAGAGGTTGCAGAACCCAATGAGGGGCCCTGAGCTCCGTTTCAACCAGAGGCAGGGGTCGATAAGCCAAATTGGTACCTCGGCGCGAATAATGCATGGGACTCTCTGTGCCGGTAAGGGATCCTTCTGCGTCAGTCACGTGTCCATGCGTCGATCCTGTGTCAGATGCCCAGACCAGAGGGCCTGCCGCATCAGGGATGGAGCCGGTGCACGGTGTATCCCTCTGAAGGCCTCCGGATCGACCAGGGCCCTCCGGTCCCCATATCGACGCCAGAATAGCAGTTACTAGGTACCCCGGGCTGGGACGAAAGCGCTCTTCATTTCTTGACCAAGACAACTCATCAACGCCATTTCGAGGTAGAATCTCAGATTGGAATTAGCAGTTACAACATCACGAGCAACCGAGGTTAGACCATCGCGCCAGGAGGCTGTGGTGTGGTGTGGTACATGCTAAAACAATATGAAAATACGTCGGCAATTGTGCACGAAATACGTTCATATGGTGTACACTGTGCATTTTAAGATACATTTCGTTGTAACTTTCTGCTATCTTATACTATAACGATGTGATAGTTCCAATGCAAGGCGATTTACGTGCCGGAGGCGCAGTACACCTGATATCCTTTGAATATCCAGAACTAATATTATTTATGCATCGTTCTTGCCACATTCCTCAATTAGAAGATAAGACATTTGTGTGCTCCTTTAATACACTCAAAACAAGCAGTGCAAGTTTGGAATGTTTCCATGGTAACGGCTCAAAATGTGTTACTCATATTCTGGGGAGCTGGCCGTATGTTTTACTTCAAGAAAGAATAGTGCGTTAAAGGTCTACAGATTTTAATAGCTTCGCCGCTTTCTGCTACCACCACCAACATTCTAATCCTTGTGTGATGGCATGTCGTGTCAGTCGGGTGCTATTGCGAGCAAGGCAGGGTGTACAGGTTATTTTTTTACGTTTAGCCATTCACAGTTTGACCTCCCGCGATACCCACCGTTTCTGCCGAGATAAGAGGCAGGCGTTGGCATACAGTCTCAGAGGCGTCATAAGGCCCAATGGCATACAAACATTTACTGTGAGGTAAGCGTCATGAGGCTAAATGGCGTACAAACATTCACTGTGAGGTAGGCGTTATAAGGCCCAATGACGTACAAACATTCACTGTGAGGTAGGCGTCATAGGGCCGAATTGCGTACAAGCATTCACTGTGAGGTGAGAGGCTTACAACATGCAACTTTTTGTGGGCTTCATTTTACGTGAGTTATTGGGCATCGTTTTATATAAGTACATTTCTTTAATGCCAACTTGCGAATTCGTAAGAAATATCAAATTATCTTTACTTCCAAGAGGTGATATGGTTTCAGAAAAGAGGTTGCACATTTTGAAGGCCGAGAAAATATAGCGGTGGCCCAGCCAAATATTGGGGGGGGGGAGTTCAGCCCAACAGGGGGCGCCCAGCTCAACATTGTGGGGCATGCCCCCTCCCCCAAAGAATTTAGAATTTAATATGCCTGATAATGATCCCCAAATACCGCCTAAGTTGTATTACAGAAATTCCGGAATGGCAACAAAGAGATGAAGACATGATCAATATTGAATATATGGTTACTGATAATAAAGTGAATTGAAATTTGAGGGAAGAAAAAATGAAACAGAAATATTGGAATCTTCATAAATCGAGATTCATACTCGTGGCACCAGTCTTCAAACCCGAACTTCACAAGCTTCTCAAGCCCGTTTCATGATTCCTGAATCACGAACCAGTAAACGCCGATAAGCATCCTCTGCACTGCCTTGTCATGTTAAAACTCCCTGGCAGAACGCCAGTCTACCTCCAGGTGCCGCATGAATTTAAACGCCTGGCGAAATTATGATACTGGGTGTGGATCAGTTTAAAATAGCTTTCTGCAAAATATGCGTTTAAGCCAATTTTTCCTCCCATTTGCTAACGCCAGACAGTCGCACGAAAACCCGAACACCTGGGCGCTATGTCCCCGCGTCGCCCGCTCTTTCTGCCAAAGCTAGAGGCAATCGACACCATATAGCGTCAGGCGGTGGGTGTCTCTTCAATGACGGACGAAAGCGACAACAAAGTCGTGATCTCTGGCCATTTACTGTACTGGGATATTTACGGTCAGCTAACTTTATTGTAAAAAGGAAGGCGACACGTGTCATCGGATACCCATTTATGGAGCGCCAGCGAAAGCATAGATAATTAACTTTGTGGGGTTTGGGGCAATGGCTCCACCGCGATCCAAACTCGGGCCTCCCACTGGAGAGCCGAAGGTGCTAACTTCTCGGCCACTAGGCCCATTACAACATGTTGGCCACGAATGCATGACAAGCTTCCTGCGGAGTCCCCTCAGTTTAATTAGCAATGCAATGTACAGCTTTTAGCTCTTTAGTCAACAGCGTGTTCACCAGACAAGCGGCAAATTAACAGACCGGCTGTGGATGTTAGCACACGGGGACGCCAATAAGGCCATCCGGTGACAGTACCCACTCGAACGCGACGCAATTTTCCTGATGCTCCACGGGGACCAGGATAGGGGACCCTCTGCCCTCTGCCCATCCTCTGCCCCACGGCGGTGATCACTCCCTCCCGCGTGACGGCGTCCAATCCGGGCCGGGCTGGGGCAGCCCACCTGCCGGCGCCGCCCCGCGCGCGCCGAGGCTCACCTGCCTAATTGAGGCCGGCGATCTGTTGACACGCCGACCGACCAACACAATAAGCGAGCGTCGGACACACCTGGCGGTGTCAGTCGCCAAGAGCGGGCCGGTCCGGCCGCAGGTTAGGGCAGGTCTCCGCGCCGCGCGGCCGCTGGTGGCTTTGCTCTCCGCGGTTGGCGGAGGAGCCGGGGGCGCGTCTCACCACGCGGAGGAGGGAACGCGCCTTGAGGAGACAGAGGCGCGCTGGGAGGAGACAGGGTGCCTGAGCAGGAGAGAAGCGTGAACAGCAGCAGGTACTGACAGGGCGTGGTCCGTGTGAGCGTTGCGTGAAAGGAGCGCGACCGAGAGCAGCGGCACAAGGTGCAGTGGAGACCCGTACAAGACGCAAACGGAGCGCAATCCGCCGAACCGCCTACCACAGTCGGGCCTCCTGGGCCCGAGCCGAACCGACTCAGTGGGGACCTCCTGATCCCGAACCCGCACCGTGCGATGGCCGGGCCTCCGACGAGCTCGTGTGACGAGCCCGACGAGCGGATGGCGCGGTTGACGCAGGCGGCGTACGTCTGGTGCGCGCCCGCCATCTGCGCGCTCGGTCTGGCGGCGAACATCGCCAACCTGACCGTGCTGCGCCGGCCGCCGCTGCGCGCGCTCACCGTCTACACGTACCTGCACTGGCTGTCGGTGTCCGACCTGCTGGGGCTCCTCTTCTCCACGCTGTTCGTGTACCTGCTGACACAGGAGACGCGCTTCGACCGTTGTGGCGCGTCGCTGTCGCTCGCCTTCTACGCAGCGCACCTTAACAAGCCACTGACGAACATGTTCGTGTCGGCGAGCGTGTTCATCACGCTCTGGCTGTCGGCCAACCGGCGCGAGGCGATGATGCGCCCGGCGGCTTACCACGCCACAGAGACGGCAGACCTGGCGTTCGTGCGCATAGCCGGCTCGCTGGTGGTGGCGCTGGCCCTGTACGTGCCGATGGTGTTCCAGTACGAGGTACAGCTGGACAGCACGCTAGGGACGTACGTGCTGCGCGAGGAGGAGTTCACTGCCACCAAGGGCTGGCTCGCATACCAGTGGCTGCTGCAGGCGAGCGTGCGCCTGCTACCGTCCGCCATCATCGTCTTCAACAACGTGCTGGTGGCGCGCGGCCTGCTGGCTCAACGTAATCGCCGTTCGCTGGTGCCGCTGTCGTCCGACCCGACGCCACCGGCTCGGGGCGCGTGGTGCCTCTGCTGCGCCCCCGCCAGCACGGAGCTGGCGCCCCTGGCGGTGATCTCGGCGGCGCCGGAGTCGGCTGGCTCGTCGCCGGCGGCGCGCCGGCGCGCCAGCGTCCAGCGGCGGCGCACGACGCTGATGCTGCCGGCGATCTCGGCGCTGAGTATCCTGACCAGCGTGCTCTCGTCGGTGGTGTTCGTCTGGGGCCAGGCGTCGCATCTCTACAAGGAGGGCTACAACTGCTACCAGGTGTGGCGCGCACTCAGCAACAACCTTGAGCTGTTCGTGTTCGCGGCCAACCCCGTGCTGAACTTTGTGTTCTCGTACGACGTGAGACGCGGCTACCACGAGCTGGCGCGCGACATAATGCGCGCCCGGTGCTTTTCCAGAAGGGCTTGAGGTGTCACCGACAGTGTGCACTGCAAGTGTGCGCCTTCAACATCGTGACGGTGTGTTTTTTTACGGCCTGTGTGTCCGTGCAGCGAAAATGTCGGAAAAGCACAGCAATTCGATGCTTTGTGGTGTCATACAAGCTATGAGATGTCATGAAATCGCGGCTGGTCTGACAACAGGGGGTCGCTGCCCCAACGGATATAGTACGTCTTTTAACATTACGAATGGGACACTGTTGATGCACGTGTGATGCATTTATCATGCTGCGCATATATTCGTGGTTATTATTATTTTGTGTTGCATCGGATCTCATGCGACGAGTTTTGACTGCAATGAATGGCGAGTACATATCACGTGGGGGTTTATGTCTGCCATATCGGCGTAGTGAGCAGACTTGTTTGTACATATTTCCGAGGACTGGGTACCTATGTATGTGAAGTTAGTGACGACTTTTTTGCTGACAGCTACTGCGGCAGACTTTAAGTTATTCGTCTGTGCTTGAATGAAAGGTCAAGGCGGAACAAACACGTCCCGAACCGTTTGGCACTCAGATCGGATGAAATTAACGGTACTGCTTTTTGGTTACTGAATGCTTTGCGAAGCTTTTAACCATACAAATTGTATCTATAATAAAGAAAGCCTATATATATACATATATATATATATATATATATATATATATATATATATATATATATATATATATATCTCTCTCTCTCTCTCTCTCTCTCTCTCTCTCTCTCTCCCTCTCTCTCTCTAATATATATATATATATATATATATATATATATATATATATATGTATGCCATATATCGCATTAAGTTAGACATGAAGGCTTTTGTCACAGATCATTTGAACCAAATCCCAGAGGCCCCACAGCCGTGCCTTTTCGACCTGTCAGGGCAGGGCCTTGAAAGAAAGTCGGAGTCCGCGGTGCCGACTTTGGTAAAATCCTGAACAGGTCTCGCAAATTACGTACCACGTGACTTGAATGCCTGTCCCGTAACCAGAACCTTTCAGCAGGAGCGCATCATTTTTACACCTCGATTACATATGCGCTGCCTTTGACGAGTTGACTCTAACCGGTCAAAGCCATATTGCGCTTGAGACCAAATTTACTGCAATATCTCGATGTGAACATGTTTCATCAAGTATCTCAAGAGCCTATCGAAGCGAAGGATGAAAGTTTGCCCAGCACTTATACCAATTATGCTGTGAAACAAGAAAAAGCAGCTTTCAAATAACTAAAGCACCATCATGTCATGCACTTTAAAACATATCGGAGTCCAGCATATCATATTTACGCCCCCGGCAGATGGGGCCGAGACCACCAATATTCAGCCCACGCGCCGGTAATCAGTCACGTTGGGGCAGCTAATAAGGATTTAGCAAGAAGTGGGTGTGCACGGGGCCGTCCGATGTGAGATACGCGTCCCCGCCAGGTTCAACGGGGCGTCACAGCAAAAGAAGGTGTCTGTTAAGACTCCGCTTCAAACCAGCGCAGTCGACTGGAGCATTGGCAGCAGACCGCACGCCCTTGGCGAATACAGGGGAGATCCATAGACAAGGTAATTTGTAGTGTAGTACTTGTCCAAGAGCATGGGTTATTTCACATGCAATCTCAAATGTGTTATTGTAGCGTTGCAGCGGGGTGAGCTTATGACCATCTTCGGTTTGTGCGAAGCTACATCTTTTTCAAAATCGTGGTTTGGGTGCTCTTTGGCCTCCTCCGAATAGTGGAAGCGGTTCCAGGGCTCTACGTTGTATCGCTGGACAGGAAATCAACCTTGCAGCATCCTGTAATTTTTGCAAGACTAAATTTCATTGCTGAGGAGTTTTAGCATCTTAAGCGGATCATAACCGCCCCTGGGTATTCTTGGGTCATCTATTACCTGCATTTATGATTTGCAAGGCTCTGTACCATTTACAGTAAAAAAGACAGAGCGTGCGTCACGGTACCTCACTGCAGCGGCGGCAAGAGGATCACTGGAGCGTCGTTGTTTCCATCACTGGGACTGTTAGATGTCCGCACAGGAGCGGCCGAGTGTCCGGCACACAAGGACCGCTTGTCCGAGGACGGAGCTGCCGTGGGACACAGGGAGGCCACATGTCCAGCACTAGACCGGCGCGCACCGGCACATGAAAGACCACATGTCCGACAACGGAACAGCCGTGTAATGCTAGGACGGCCGTGTTTCCGGCACAGGAGAAACTGCGTGTCCGGCACGGGAGAGGCCGCGTGTCTGACACAGGAGCAGGCGTCCAGCACAGGAATGGGCACACCTTCCGCACTGGAGTTGCCGCGTGTTCGGCACAATAGACAATATGTCTGGCACAGAGGACACCGCGTGGTCGGCACAGTAGAGACAGCATGTCTGGCACAGGAGAGACCGCGTGTCCGACGCAGACATGGAAAACGCTGGCGCCGGGCTGCGGAGTGCTTGACCTTCGCCCTGATTCGCCGTCTCTCATAACTTGGATTGATAGGGGGAGGGGGCGATGTGACCCCCCCCCAGCCTTTACAAACTAAGCAAGATAGAGCCTCGCGGAAAAAAAAAACAGTGGATGGGCCCCAGCTACATCTCGCGATGCGCAATAACTCGCATGTTGCTGATAGACCACGTTAAGGGTCAAGTTTTCCTGAAAACCTTTTAAACTTAACATGTCATGATGCACGAGATTATGCCTCATACCGACAGGGCATTTAAACAGGCGTGTTTCTACACATACGTATGCTGCAGGGATCTGGGAATGTACCGGTGAATGTGCGTCGCGTGCGGTCCGCCGAACCGTCGGTTGCCGCCCGCTGCCAGCGCCAGCAGCGGATCGCCGTGCAGTGCTCCTAAAATGTGGTAGCTTTTCAGAAACCAGAACTGCTAGGGACACTTTTTTGTCAAGACAAGTCAGTGGATGCCCAGAGGATAACGAAAGTTTGGACGCGGTTGCACGACATGCCGGAGAAACATCTTCGGAACACGTCAAGGGGGTCACGTGCCAGGCTGATGGCTATTTGGAGGCACCGGAGGTTGTGCACAGTCTGCCGGCCTCAGACCTCGCGCGTATCCACGAACCCTGCCTGTGTTGTGTGCGGTGTGCGGACTCAAGGTCAAGCCATCAGCTGCTGGAGACGCGCCTTCCGGCCAGATCTATTTTTCCTAAAATTCAGGGGTTCTTTCTATCTATTCATTTTGCTCAAATGCAGGGGTTGATGGACGCGTTGGCTGAAAAATTAATAACCTGATTCTGCACTCGGGACTGGGTCATGTCAGTTTGAATCCTGGAAAAAAGCTGCTGACCCTCTGACCAACGAAGCGACAGTGTCGGACCTGGCCACCGATCCCGTCGACCCGACCAGGGTGTGGGTGGTAACAGGTGTGACAATGTTGATCTGGCCCATGCCAGAGTCGTGGTGACTCGTGCCCAAATGCCGCAACCAATGTCTGAACCTGGCTCACTTCGTCTGGACACGAGGTTAGATTATCTAAATTCGACCGACCTGGACGAAAGAGATAGCAAGGCAACGTTGACAAAGACGACAACGAGCACGAGAACTGAGCTGAAGAGGACTCAGAACAACCGGCTCGAGGGAAAAAGCGGTCGTCAGTGCTATACTGAACAGGACTATCCGACCCCCACCTTAAAGCGCAACCAGAGACAGAGAGGTCACTAACGTTGCCGGATAACTCACGTGTTTGGAAAGTTGGAAAAAGCCCACTTTCCTAAAATGCGATTTTGACCCCTCAAAAAAGGATTTCCCTGTTTATACAACGCGCGTCACTTGCGATTTAACATTCAGAATATCATCTTCTTATCAGGTTGTCCCTTTCCTAAAGCTCCTAGTATGACATTCCGAATTCTGAATGTCCCCAAGTCTCAGACGTCTGCACCAGCGTATACTTAGGAGCGAAAGGACGAGGGAGCGAAGAGACGAGATCCCATTTGGGAAAACCTGAAAGAATATCCCTTCCATATCCTACCCTCCCCCGTGGTTATACCCGTGGATATCCATGACTCCTTAACATGATAAAATACTATGAAACAAAAGGCCAAGCTGGCTCCATCGAGATTGCATCATGACGGGGTCATCCAGGGGCGCAGCCAGAACTTGCGACGGGAGGGTCTTCCAAGACTTGCGGTGTGAGGGTCTTCCAAGACCTGCGACGTGAGGAGCTCCGTTATTTGCGATGAGGAGCTAATTTTTACGAGCGAGTTCTAACCAAATTGATAGCACCTACGCACTGTGAACAGGCTAGCAGACCCCTACAAGCGCTAACAGGCTCCTTGACTGGCGTATCAATGCGCTATCTATGTTAGTCTACCCCAGAGCTTTAAGCAATTGTTTCAGCTATGTACCATACATATTCACTCGACCAACTGCTAGTTTTGTTACTAAACTACGGTCTCTGCATGTCGCTGCTCATGGTTATGGTCATAAGGTTTAAGCCCAAAATAGTTTTGCAGATCATCAGACTCCGGAATTATCTTCAGTAGTGTCGCGGTGAAAACTGCTCTCGAACCTGACGGGGGGGGGGGGGGGGAGGGGTGATACCCCATACTCTCTATCTCCTTTGCCGTTTTCGGTGCCATTTTACCGAGGAGATTCTGAAACCGCTGGTCGAAACTTGCGCCTTGCCTCACATTTCGTACCGCGTTTCAGTCTGGGGAGGCCAAACAAAACGTAGTTCAGCTATATTCGCACTGTCTTCAGTCTGGGAAGGCCACACAAAACGTAGTTCAGCTATAAGCAGCATTTTGTAATCAAGGAACCAACTTTTTCTTTAGATGGAACACGGTGGCTCGGACGAATCGGTTCGGGACTCCTGACTCCACACTCTGTGATGGAACTGAGCTTAGCGCATAACTGCAGGATGAAGCGTAACTTAACAAAGGTGTAGAAGGTCACAAACGACGAGCAAGGGCAACGGGCAGTGCACATGATTGGGGCAGGATCAGCGGCCTCAAGACGTGCCACTCGTGCCTCAGACGCGGAAACACAAGGTCAGCGACCTCAAGACGTGCTACTGGTGCCTCGGACTCGGAACACTTGGGGCTGCGGCAGCGCATACTCAGCGAGAGATCCGGTATTGTCCTGCACTCCCATGAAACCGTCTTGACGACCGCAATAACCAGGCCACATCACCCTAAACGTTTAATGACGTGATTAAAAACTATAAACAGCTTTTATTCATAAACCTGGCTGTTTTAAATGCGGTTATCAATAATAGGGATCCGTGGTAGTCATATTAGGGATGGGCCATAAATTAAGAGCATGCATGTATATTATATATATATATATATATATCTATAATATATATATATATATATATATTATATATATATAGTAGATGTATATATCTATGTGTGTGTGTGTGTGTTGTTGTGTGTGTGTGTGTGTGTGTGTGTGTGTGGTGTGTGTGTGTGTGTGTGTGTGTGTGTGTGTGGTGTGTGTGTGTGGTGGTGTTTCACACAATGTATACGTAGGTGCGCAATTTCTTATACACAGTTGATTAATTTGCTTTAATTCGTTTACGCAATATGTCCAAATGCATTAATCCGTATGCCTTTGTCATGTCCAAGAAAGCCTAGACGTAGACAGGATTTTTTCAAGGTATCGGCCCGGAACCCGATGAATACGTATAACGGTGATTTATAGCTTTCTGTCTGGAACTCACTATGGTGAAAAACGAAAAATCTGGGACTGAGAAGTGGTCCCAGATCCCCGGGCCTCTTGCTTTGCTGCACGCTGTACAAGAAAAGACAAATACTTGTTTCAGATGAGACGGCTGATCAAGACTGTTCTCAGCACATAAGCTTTCAGGTCACCATGACCTGATCCAGAGAGAGGCCATTGGGCTATTGCCCCCCCCCCTCCCCCTATGACCTCGAAAGGACCCATAGCCGGCCGAGTAGGCAAGCGAAAGTGAGAGGCTCATGACCATGCAAAAATGATTTTTCTCTGATTGGAAAGGTGGTGACAGAAATTTCAAGGCTCATTGCGCTATTCAGCTATTCAGAAGTCCTACGCTGTTCCTGGGTGCCATATATGTGCACTTGCAACGTAAATCCAATGGGTAAGCAGCCTTTCATGTTGCCCCTGAGTTTGTTACATTTGCCTTGAGGGTACCACGCTGTTGTTGGGGCCTTTTCTGCCGACAGGCCGGGACGCTTTTGTCAGGAGCTTCCCACGGATTCTGCCCATTTGTCCGGTAGGGTCCACACGCTACATCCAGGGCCTCATATGTTGAACTGCCGGGATAATCTAGGTCGCCTCAGGGGTCCTTCACGTTGGTTTCGGTTAACCTACCGGCACATTCGCAATATGCTCATGGGCCCTCTACATTGGTCTGGGACCTTTTCAGATCCCTGCCACATGCGGAGGGCTCTACGCTCTTGTCGGGCTCCATCTGTTGACCTGCCCGGTCACACTCGAATGTTTGGGGGGTCCTCCACATTGGATCTTCGTCACTTTTTATGTCAATGGAGGGCCTCGTGTTTTTTTTTTCGGGGGGAACTGCGTCATCTGTTTACCTCACCTTGGGCACGCTCGATCTTTCGGGTCCCTACACATTGGGTTTTGGATACTTCCAATTTCTTTGTAGGGCCATGCGCCCTTATCAGGGGCCCCAGCTATTAAGCTGCTCGGGCACACTTGATCGTTCGAGGGGCCCATCACACTCAGTCTTGGGTACTTCCTATTGGCTTTTGAGGGCCCTACGCTTTTGACCGGACCGCATCTGTCAACCAGCTCGGGCACGCTTAATCGTTCAGGGGCCATTTACATTGAGTCTTGGGTGCTTCCCACTTGAATGGAGGCCTCTATGCTCTTGACGGGGCCCTTTATGTTAACCTGCTCCGGCACACTTGATCGTTCAGGGGTCCTCCGCATTGTGTCGTGAGTATTTCTTGTTTGAATGGAGGGACCTGCGCTCTTGTCGGGGGCCCCCATCTGTTAACCCGCTCGGGCACGTTCAGTCATTCCGGGGCTCTCCATGCTGTGCCTTGGGTACGTCTTGTTCAAACGAATGGCCCTATGTTCTTGCCGAGCCCCATCTTTCAAGCTGCTGGGGCCGGTTGCCGGATACAGAGGGGAGAGGAGGGGAAGGGCATAGGACTTTGCCCCCATGGACTACGCCGAGGGAACCTATAGGCTCCGAAGGGGCCGATAACCAGCCGAACGCACACTCTTTCTACCAAAGAAAAACAAAACAAAACAAAATTGGACGTCTTTGGGCCTACAGACGACCAAGAACGGCTGCTAGCAAAAGTAAAGAGCTCATAAGCAGACAAAGTGAATTATTCGCTAATTGGAAACGTGTTGATTGAGGGAAATGTTTAGGCTTATTGCACTGTTCACAGGCATAACTCTGTTGTCCAGGCCATACGTGTCCACTTGCCGGGTCAATGTGATAATGTGATCGCTAAGGAGCTTTCCACGTTGCCTTTGATCTCTTCGCCTTTCCTCGTAGGGCCCAACGCTGCTGTTGGGACGTCAGCTGCTTCCATGCCTGGGCACTCTTGATCGATCAGGTCTTCCTCCCCGGGGCCGCATGTGTCAGGGCGCACTCAGTTGCTCAGAGGCCCATGATATTGATATTGGGTTCTTTCCACTTGCTCGGAGGGCCTTGTGCTGTTGCTTGGGCTCATGTAAGGCAAAACAACGAGATACTCGATGCTCAGGGGTCCTCTTCTTGAGCGAGGGCTCTATCTCTTTTATCTCATTCGCAGAGGACCCTTCAGAGGACCCTGTACTTGTTTACGGGAGCCTCTTTGTTGGCTTCCTGTGGCACCCATCCATGATCGCTTAGATCCTTGGTGCCTAAGCCTTAGGGTAGCAGTCGGATTTGCACCGACGAATTTTTACGCGTCACCGTCGAACGTAATTTTACCTACCGCCAACGTCGTATGTGTCTTTTCCCTTGGCAATTGAGTGTGTGACACTTATTGTCCTAGTACATCGCGTTCTTGACATATTTTGAATGCTAGGATATTTTTACTCACCTTTAGAGCGAAGCAAAACTCCCGCATAAGGCGTCAACCATCAGGTGATTACATCGACCAGCCGGCTAGCCGTAAATAAACTAGGAATCAAGCCCATGTTCCATTTGATGGTTCTGAGCAGGCAATTCGAGTTTATTTGCCTTTTGTGCCGATTCATTCGCCTCGAAATCGCAGGATTAACGTGAGCTGCAAAAAAACGAATGGGCTGCATATATGTACATACGTAGCACGCCTAGCTTTATAGGGTTGCGCACGGTAACATGGGTTTTAGTGTTTATCATGCATGTATATGTGTGTACATCTATAAATATATGTACACGCACACACACTCACACACACACCACACACACACACACCACACACACACACACCACACACACCACACACACACACACATATATATATTATATATATATATATATATATATATATATATATATATATATTATATATATATATAGCGAAAGCTCCAAGGTTAGGTTAGGTTAGGTTAGGTTAGGCTAGGCAATATATATATATATATATATCTAATATATATATATATATATATATATATATATATATATATATATATCTATATATAAATCCTTATATCTATATCTATAATCTATATCTATATCTATCTATCTTATCTATCTATCTATCTATCTATATCTATCTATCATCTATCTATCTATATTTATATCTATATCTATATCTATATCTATATCTATATCTATACACATGCGTGTATTGTTACGCAACCCATTTGTCCTTAAAATGTGATGACCGAAATGCAAGGTCATGTTTTGGAGCGGGCCTCAAACTCTAGGGGCCGCACTATTTTGTCTGCCCCCCCCCCCCCTTGATGAAATCTTGGATACGCCCCTGGCTGAGCCTTGGAACTAACCCGCACTGCGCTGCTCAGTATCACTGCATGCTAACCTCTGGCATGTTGTACCAATCACTACTAAGCACCTGTCCCCTCTTGAGCAGAATTGGTACTAAATATTCTCTAGGACATGTTGTATTGCGTCGCAGCTGGAAGTAATTAGGGGGTTGGAGCCGCTGGAGAGTCGGCGAGGTGACGCATTGTGTTGCGCTTGGGTCATACCCAAACGAGCTGTGAAAGTTGGGGGAGGTGCCCTGCGCGTCTTCGGTATTTTCCTGTCATTGTACCGGGGAGGTAAGTTGATTTTAGGCGGTCAATGATGTGTTCCTTGTCCATGATAGACGTCAAATCAGGGACGCTTTGGATGACCAACGGTCTGTGCTCCGCACCTTTACACTAAGGACTGGGGATTTTGCAGGAACTTGGTTCAAATTTTCAGGATTTTGCAAGAATAGTTGCACTTGGCCCCTCATTATTTACTTGCCTGTGTCAAGTGAAGAGGAGTGCGGTGAGATATTTATCTTTGCATATAAATGTGGCAGTTGGCAGCATGGCCCCCGAAATGGTGTTTTTCCCTGATACAGGGTTTCCTGATGATCACTTAAAGTGCTTCTTATCATTGAGTGGGATATAATTTCATTGAGTCAGAATAATTACTATAATTCAAGTGCCTGCACATTATGGGCACCATATGACCAACATAGTTGGTACACTCCAAAGCCCAAGTCTCAAGCCCAAAGCCCAAGTCTCATACCATGATGCTGCATGGGAATTGTGGGAAAAATTTGCTCTGAATAGATTTTCCTCTCCATGCCAAATAGATTTTTCTGCTCCATGCCAAAATGATATGGATTTAGTTCAGTGCTTTGATATATTGTAGGCATGTGACATAGTATATAGAGTTTTATGCAGGCTGGCACTGGGGTTCTTGATCTGTATTTTTTTGTGATGCTTGAATGATGTGAACAAAAACAAAGGTGCCTGGTGGCCAGAATCAGCTGGGATAAACCCACCAAGAAATACAACTATTGGAAAGATTGAAATTTCAGCCCCCTTTGCTTGGCCATCCTGCATGTTACACAAGTCAGTGGCTCAGACATCACAGCACACCTTTTGTAAGTCTGCAGCATCTTAACTGTGGCTTAGGTATGGGAATTGAGTACTTGTGGTTGGACATCTCCGGGTGCCAATTCCATTCCAACCATTCCATCAAGCTGAAAGTGAACTGGCCCCAGCATATCTGGGGCAGATCAGATCAAATCTAACTAAAAATGTGTACTCATTTGTAAATGGTTATCAAATTCAGAGTCATTTTGTCAACTTTGGCATTCTGGAATAATTTATAATTTTCTGGTCTAAGCAAGGTAATCTTTAGCTCAAGCGCCTTAGGCCTGACAAATGGGCTGCACAGTTCTAGCTCTGGAGTCAAAAAGATTTGCACTAACAATTGCCTACAGATGTTGCCAGAGATCCAGTAATCTTTTATCATGTCTTTGTATTTGTAAGCTAGGCATCCTATTGGATGAAGTTGTGGAATGCTGTCTAGTGGTGCATTGACAGGCAATGTTTTGTATCGTTGCAAATTGTCATTAGATATGATTTTATGCCATAATTGTATGAAATTCTGTTTGCTTTCCTGCTCTGGATGCAACATCAGAATGCATGTCTGATATCTTTGCTGCTTACTTACACTTCAGGTCAGTCAAGATGGGCAATGCACAGAACAGGGAGCGTCACCGCTCCAGCGACTCACCTGGTGGCTCAGCATCACCTGTGGGCCGCTTCAGCGACTCACCATTTGTGTGAGCACAGCCTGCTCCAGCATCCATCTCCCATGCATATGTTGTGTCATGCAATGCAGGGTTGGTATTTTTAAAGGTATTTCTGTCACTGAGCAGTAACTTAATTTCCTGACCACTCTTGTGATTTGTGTGGTGATGGTGAGACTCAGTAAATGCACAATGAATGGAGCCAATTATTTTATGCAGGACTGGTCTTGGGCATACTACTAATCATCAGTCAAAAACCCTTGAATTCTAAAGGCTATGCATGCCAGGACAGGGTAGTGTATCCAGGTAGTGCATCTGTTTACCTGTGGTGCATCCCAAGTGTAGCACATTGTCAAACCCGCCCCCGACGGCGTGCTCCTCGGCTGGTCGGTCCCACCTCCCCTGCTAATGGTGCTCTGTGGGGCAGCTTCGACCACGACCGACGGCGCCACTCGTCGGCGCAGGAGGAGTCGCCGCTGGTGCTGCCGTCTGGCGGGCGGCGCGCCAGCGGCGTGGAAGGCACGGCGCCGCCGTCTGCGCAGCACGCGCCGCTAAGCGCGCAGCGCTCGGTGCCGATCGGCGTACCACGAGCCAGCCCCGAGCCGTCGGCCGACGGCGGCCAGGCGGCCGCGCGCCGTCTGCCCGTCGTCATCCAGTGGCGCAAGGGTGGCCGCGACGTGCAGCTGTGTGGCAGCTTCACCGGCTGGAAGCCGATTCCGATGGCGCGCAGCGAGAGCCACCTAGACTCGGAGCACATGAGCATCGTCAACCTGCCCGAGGGCCAACACGAGTACAAGTTCCGCATCGACGGCGAGTGGGTGGTGGACACCAGCGAGCCCACCGTCGACACGCCGTCCGGCGACAAGAACAACTACATCACGGTGCGCGTCGACGACTTCAGGGCCTGCGACGCGCTCAACATGGACACGGTGCCAGCTGGCCACGAGCTGTCCGGCTCGCCGCCCGGCTGCTACTCCCAGGAGCTGCCGCAGCCCAAGCCGTGGATGCCGGCGCAGCCGACGCAGCCGCCGGCACTGCCGCCGCACCTGTTGGAGGTGATCCTCAACAAGGACACGCCCAGCTCGTGCGAGCCCACGTTGCTGCCTGCGCCCAACCACGTCATGCTCAACCATCTGTACGCGCTGAGCATTAAGGACGGCGTGATGGTGCTCAGCGCCACGCACCGCTATCGTAAGAAGTACGTCACCACGCTGCTGTACAAGCCCATCTAGGACGGGCGGCGGCGGCTCCGGCCGCGGCGGGCGGGGCGGGTCGCTCGGTCGACGCCCTGCGGCCCGCCCTTAGGGTCCGCCGGAGCGACGCGGCCCGACCGGCATGGGTAGCGGCTGTTGGCGCCCCCTCTTCCGGCTGGTGGTGCTGGCTGTTCCTCTGTCGTCGGGCCGATCGACGGGTGACGTGTGCGAAGACTAACGCCCATATCATGTGTAGCTGATCGTGTTTTATGCAACTTAATGGTGGCTGGTGGAGAAGCTGATGTTTTTGGTGTATACTGTATTGGATGAAATGGGCGCGCAGGGTCTCTTTCTCATTGAGTTCTGAGGCTGTTTGTCCGGCCCCGGTTGTGCTTTTTACACTGTGCGTCTGATCGAGCTCGAAATCGTGTATTTCTGCAGCTGTGGAACGATTCTCTAACATTCCAACGTGGGCTTGTAACATGCAGCCGCGCTTATGTCAGCGCCTGCGCACATGTGCTTCACCCGAAGCTGCAGCCGGAACATAATACGTCGTGTAGTGTAGTCACGTGCCATGCGTGCTCCGACCCGAGACCGAGAGCGGCGCCAAAGCTCGAGGACGGGTGCGCGCACGTAGCGCCAGATCTAGCAGCGGCATTGTACCCCTCATGGCGCGCCGGGACGGCACTGCTCGCTGCGTGTGCTGGCTGCCAGTCTGTCTTCCGTGTCCGTCGGGACGTGACCCACAAAGGCTGGACGTGTTCGGGTCAGACGCGCCGTGTTTTATCCGCGCTGTGCGTACCGTCGGCAGCGTGTAGTGTGCGTGTGTTGATGTGTGTTTTAAACATTTTGAAATATACTTAATGCTGTGCCACTTGGAGCATTGCGGCGAGGAATGAGGTGGGTGGTCGGCATGAGCAATTCCAGCGGCGCGGAGAAGCCTGATCGCCGGGTTGGAAGTCCTGCGGGCGCAATATTACTGCCAAACGTGACGCGGCGTGGCGGGGCAACTTGATGCATGTCTCTCGTCACATTTGGCCATTCTTGTTTCCTGCTGTCACAGCGCAGTTGCTGTCGTGCTGTTTCGAGCTCGTCGCCGGCAACGGCGCACACGCTGAGGAGCACGCTCTGGCTGTGCTAGCGTCAGTGGTGGGTAGGATCGCTTCACATGAACTGGTCAGTACCCCGCTTGTTGCAGTCCGCCATCAATATGGAGCGAGCACCCGTGCCGTCATTTTTTGTATTCTGGATGCAAAAGGTTGACAGTCCACGTCGTTCGTGGCGAACTCACACCCACTGAAGTACACACAATCTGTACAGCGGGGCGCGATCGGGGCCCACCGGCGGGGGAGAAGGGGATTGCACGTGGGGTGTGCTGCTGCTGGAAGTGGATTACACCACACCGCGCCAGTGGTGATGACAGCTCCCGTCTTGCGTGAGCCGCGGCCGGACGCAGTGGAATGTCGGTCTCCTGTTACTCCCGAGTCCACTTCACGTCGGGAACATCACGAGATGAGCCACGTAAGTGGGTGCGGTGCGCGCACAAAGCGGTCTATACACGATCACGTGCTCGTCTTGTGGTGGAAACATTTACGCCGTGGCATTCCATGCCTACGGTCGCCGACCATATGCTGGACGATGCAGACATTTGGTTGAAAAAATACGCTTAGTGCACTGAGGCTTACGATGTCACATGCAACTTGCCGCGTAAATGGGGGTCACACCCCAACTCAGAGTAGTTTCTTTAGCACTGGGTATGTGATGGTTACATTACATTCGCCGCACAGCTAATCTCCGGAAGATACCCTCCATACACAAGCTGAACGGCTGCGTGATTGGCCGCGGGCGCACTCGGGGCCTTTTTGAGCGTCGGGGCGGAGCGTCCATCGCCGAGTGCTAGATCATCGGGTCACAAATGCACGTCCTGTCTTGCCTGCAGGACAAGGGCAGAGAACTCACCTCCCAAGTAACACCGTCATCACAATCACTGTCATCACCTTTAAGAATGACCAGCTTCCATCGAATTGGCTCCGTTGTGACTGCGGCTCGAGCCGTTGTACAGCAGCGCCACCTATATATAAACTCGTGAACTGCCAGCAGGAATAGGCTAGACCGGTGCGCTCAGTGGTCGGTGAAATACGAGTTTTGCATCAGGTACAGCTTGTCTATGGGGTTTATGCTTCCGTAGTTCTGCATCACGTCTAGTGGTTGTGGTGCAGAAGACGTCTGCATTCTGTGAAACAAAGAGGCATATTTATTACGGTCGCAAAACTGATCCAATACGCTTCCGATCCAAAATCGTAAAACGTTCAAAGTGCAGAGCGAACACATGGCTGAGAACAAGTATCAGCCAGCAATTCGCAAGCGCAGTTAGGTTCTGATGACTTGCACTCAAGCTGGCTGCGTAAAGTTGTTAGTCGTAAAGTAAAGTCGTCAAGTTACACGAGTTGCTGACTCATGTAAAACTGCTAGTTTACGATGAGATAGTCAACCACGAAAGTGACTCTTTCCTAAAGTGAATAAAAATCGTTTTAGCCACAGGCACTGTCGCAAAGCTTGCGCACCCTTAGCACACCCTGAGCTGGGCGCGGCCGCCAGCGTCCACTCACAGGTTGGGGTCGGCATGGCTGTCGTCCATGTTCTCGAAGGAGGGCCGTGTCCTCGAGGCTGACGTCATCCGAACCACAGAAGCTCTCGTTGGACTGGGCTGTGGCAGAGGCAGGGACAGCGTGTGACGCTCGATGCGGCAGAGACAGGGACAGTGGGTGACACTCGATGTGTCAGAGACAATGACAGTGGGTGACAATCGATGTGGCAGAGACAGGGACGCTTGATGTGACAGAGACAGGGACAGTGCGTCACACTCGATGTGGCAAAGATAGGGCCAGTGCATGACGCTCTATGTGATAGAGACAGGGCCAGTGTGTGACGCTCGATGTGACAGAGACAGTGAAAGCAAGTGACGCTCGATGTGGCAGAGACGGGAACGGTGTATGGCACTCAATGTGGCAGAGCCAGGGACAGCGTGTGACGCTCGATGTGGCAGAGCCAGGGACAGCGTGTGACGCTCGATGTGGCAGGGACAGGGACAGTGTGTGACACTCGATATGGCAGAGATAGGGACAGTGCGTGACGCTCGATGTGGCAGAGACAGGGATAGTGCGTGACGCTCGATGAGGCGCCTGTCTCGGATTGCACACCGGGTTTGGCCGAACGATTCTCAGCGAGTCACAGTGGCACGGTTGTGACACATACAGCGCTAGATATGAACCAACTGTCACTGGACAGAAGCCGCTAGGGTCTCTCTCCGGCAGGTCTGAGTTCACAGCCATCCTGCATAGGTGGCCACCGTTGTCGGGGCTGCAACTGTGATTGGGTTTGGCTGCGTGAGAGCGTTAAGTCGTTTTCATGACTTCAATAAAGTCTTTAAGTTGTGCTGTATCGACATCAATTCAATGTCAGGTATTAAGAAGTCGGAAAATTTTCAGCTTACTAAGGTAAAAATCTTGAGGTAAATATTGATAATAATATTGAGTTAGCGTTATCAAAAACGGGACATTTTTGTAAACGCGTTGTCGACAAGGTCCAATGTTCTCACCGTCCGGCGAGTAAGGGTGACCAACGCTGGGCGTTCCGGAGCCGTACGGACTGTCGGCAGCATCTGGAACACGTGTGCAACTATGAAGCGCAGAAACCCCTGCAGAGGCGTCGACTACTACATGGATGTGCTGGATGGTCATGCTGCGTGGCTGACAACCATGGGACTAGGCATTAATCAGCGCTGGCACACTGTGTTAAAACTTAAGAGGATGCGTCCATTTTATACCTTTTTGTTTATGACTCATAAAAATGTCGTGAATGTCGGGCTGGCAACGATAGCAAAGAATCAGCTAAACATTCATGCGATAGAAGTCCATGTGATGCTCTCACAGCGTCAAGACCGGCTGTTCTCAGAGCTCCCGAGCAAGAAACACGTCGTCCTCGAGACCCCATCGTCGTATTTCAATGAATTTTAGCTGTGTCGCGAGGGCAGACGTCTGGCCAGCAGCGCGGAAGGGTGGAGGACTCACAGACGTCTGGCCAGCCGCGCGGAAGGGTGGAGGACTCACAGACGTCTGGCCAGCCGCGCGGAAGGATGGAGGACTCACAGACGTCTGGCCTGCCGCGCGGAAGGGTAGAGGACTCACAGACGTCTGGCCAGCCGCGCGGAAGGGTGGAGGACTCACAGTCAGTATCCGCCTTTTTATCGCCGTCGCCGTCCTTCTTGTCGGTCTTTTCCTTGTCCTGGCCGTCCTGCTGCTGCTTGGCACGCCGCTGCAGCTTCTTCATCTTGGCCCTCTGGTTCTGGAACCACACTTGCACTACGCGCACCGACAGCCCTGTCTCCTTGGCCAGCGCCTCGCGAATCTAGAAGGCGAGACAGCGGTTGTTACGCGACTAATGCGTCCGGCTTCAGGTCGATCCGCTGACACGAAAATCCGCTTTTCGGGTTTTAAAATTGGGGGAAGGACGAAATGGCCATATTTTAGTTGAAGCAAGGTTATCTCTTAAGTTGAAAATCAGCTATGCACGCATGCCTCCAGATAAGGTGCATTTAATTGTGACTGTCCAGCGAGTTTTTCCTGCATTTGCCTTCAAGACCCTAGAAATTTCATATAGAATTACGACTTTTCCTCACATACGCCTTGCTAATCACTAACACCAAGGCATGTGCCTTTCTAGCATGGGACGAGCGAGGGTATAGCGGATGTGGACGTTATAAAGATTGAACCAAAATATGGGCGAATGGAGCCAGAGCCCATCAAAGGGTCCTTCCGATGTTTTAAGAATGTCCATCGTTCATAAAAAATTAGGACACAAAGAACTCCACTGATAGAGCATTTGCTCGCTACTTCGCAAAGTGCAACGCTCCAATATTGACCGGTCATGAGCATGCATAAGCCTGGTTGTTGTAGTGTTGAAACGGAGTAATTTTATTGACCTCCGTCCCTGGTGACTGTTACAAAAGTATTGCGAGAAGCGTAGACCATTGTGGAGGTTTTGTGATCGCTTCCAGTGTTTGCGCTCACAGTGTAGGAGGACTGTGCCATCAAAAAACGTTCAAATTTATTTTCGACAAGATGGACAGAACATTAGGAGTGCATGGAACAGCTTTTTCCAAGCAAGCGTCCCAAACAGCCGACGCATTTGCATTGCTGCTCTTTGTTTTGGGCCGTAGCGCTGGGGGCCAAAAGGGTGCTAAAATAGAAGTGCCGCCAGAAGGTACTCATTTCCCAATGGGCCCAAAATTTATTACTGTGACAAAACTTCACAGAATAATTACAGCGTAAAGAGAACGCTGGTGCTAAGAAAACTGCTGCTAACTTCTCCGTTCATTGAATGACAGCATGCATCATTTATCAACTCTGTCTATCTATCTATCTATCATCTATCAAAAGACTCAACGTCACCCCCTGGGCCAATCTCTTGAGGTGGAGATCGGTCATACATTGTCTCCACAGGCAGCGTCAACATCGATTCCAAGTAACTGGTAGTCAAGCGAAGTTCATGACACTTTTAAATTCACATTTTTCTCCCAGCACACAGCGTCCTTAGGATATTACGTTTTTGACCATCGGTAGGAAACGGTGGCTGACCTGTTGTTTCGTATCAGCCAGATGTATTCTTTTTGGCAGTTCGTCGCGATTAATGATAAAACCTTATTTTTCATCCGCAGGGAAAACAGACACCTGATGCAACATAGCCGCAGGTAGGAGGAAGGTTGGTCACCCCGGCCTGTGGACGGTAATGGTGAATGTAATATAAATTACCGGCCTATCTCCGCACGGATCAAGGGGCCAGAACTTGGCATGAGCTTACAGAACTTTGACTGAAAGTTGTCATGCAGTGCCTGTAAGGCTGTTGCATGATTCCAAAGGCGCGATGACCAATTAGCAGCAACTTCTGAGAAGTGATGAAATTGATCCTTTTTTGGTGCATTATTTATGTGCATAATCATAGAGATGAAGATTAACGTTCACGAGGAGGCGGCTCACCTATGACTATCCCCGTTGCAGTGCCATAACCCCTAGCCCCACGGCCCCGAGTCCTGTGCTAAATAACTTAAGACGCCTGATGCAGCAGAATGATTCAACCACCCCGGTTAGAAAGGTCTGGTGCTGGTCACTGTTCAGACACAGACACAAAACCACATAGTTAGAACCAAGAGTGTAGTTTGCCATTCAGTTGCATGGCAGGAGGACTCCATCCCTACCCTCTCCCCTCCCCCAACTTGGGTTGCAGTACCAAATTTGGAAAAAGTGGACCAGAAGTCGAGGAGAAGCTTGTTTGTTGAGGTAATTTTGTTGGTGGTTTGCATCATTTTGTTTATCCAGCCCCCTCCACTTAACTCATTTTAGGAATCTATGTCCCTAGTTGGGGCTGAACTATGAGTTTTTCTTCGGTTTCAGCACCCTCGGTTTTCGTGAATGTGAAAGACGGTGACGCTGCTCCATCTTTTCCAAACTCGCGCGCAAAGCCTGGGGATTAACATCCGCCGGTCCCACAGCCAAGTGGAATGTCTCTTGTCCCATGACACTGCCCCTGGTTCGGATCGAACAAAATTCAGACCGCCTTCGGTCAGGAGACAATTTACGTTGACGCGCCGCTTTGCCGATGTTTGAACGGATTAGGATTTGATTCCAACGACGCAATAGCCCGGATAAACGTCGAAAAATTTCCATGCTGAGCAGTGTGTTGTTGAACAAATGGTTTTATGGTTTTAACATAAAGTATTCCTCGCAAATAATTTCATCGCGAGTGCATTTAATGAATACATTCTCGTAATGTTTATCTCCTCATCCAAAATGACCAGGCAAAGCTGTATTTACTCTAACACACACAGGTCAAACGCAAACTATGCGCCTATTCATGTCCACGAAAATTACGAATTTCAGTGGATGACCCGATAAAGATAATACAGCAGCTTTTGAAAACAACCGTCAGATCCGTGCCTGGGGGCGGTGGTAATGTAGTGATTAGGACGCTCGGTTCCGTGTGTGTGTGTGATTGGGGCTTTACGACGCACTCAGCTGCTGAAGCTGTATGGCGTCGCATGCCTCTTACCCTGGCAGGAAGGGCGGGCACCGCGGGGTTTCGAACCCCGTACCTCTGGATTCCCAGACGCTTGGTTCCGGACTTGTCGGCCCTGAGTGCGGGGCCCCTGCCGCGCCACCCCCGCATCCCACATAGGGCCTCATAAAGACTTGCCATCTGATGATGATCCTAGCAGTCGATGAGATGGAGAGCCCAATCATTATCATCACAACCGGGCCAATATGCAAGCTGTTTCATCATCTGAGTGCTAACGAGAAGATTTGCAACCAAATAGCCAAAAGTAGACCTCATCACGGAACACGTGCATCCGCCGCTCCAAACTCGTCACATTAACGAGCCCCGAGTCTCCGCAGCCTGACCCGCCATCCCCGCCGGTCTACTCGCAGCCTGACCCGCCATCCCCGCCGGTCTGCTCGCAGCCTGACCCACCACCCCCGCCGGTCTGCTCGCAGCCCGACCCGTCATCCACGCCAGTCTATCCACAGCCTGACCCGTCATCCCCGCCGTTCTGTTCGCAGCCTGACCCGTCATCCCCGCCGGTCTGCTCGCAGCCCGACCCGTCATCCCCGCCGGTCTGCTCGCAGCCCGACCCGTCATCCCCGCCGGTCCGCTCGCAGCCCGACCTGCCATCCCTGCCGGCCCGCTCGGCACCGACCACGCGCCGTCGGACCGCACCTTCCTGCAGGGCTTGGGGCTGATCTCGAACGAGGCCTTGAACTGGCGTCGCTGCGCCGAGGTGAGGATGGTGCGCGGCCGCTTAGGGCCGCGGCGGCCGTCCCTCGGCCGGCCCGGCTCGTCCCCCAGCTCCAGACCTGCGGCAGGCGGCCGGCTGCCGTCAGCAGGGGCACGGGCACACGGCGAGGCGATGCGGACGTCCGTGCCCTGTAGTCAGTGTGGTAGCATCGGATGACACAGGGGGTCGAGGAGAGCAGCGGGTCGGGGCCGGAGCGGATGTGGGGAACTCGATAGCTGCGATGTGCGTACCTCATGACGTACCACAAAGCCTATTTTCGATGTGGACTGCAAGCCATGCTTTGGTTTCATCACCGTTTTACCAACGACAGGAATCGCAGCGTTAGAAACCTGCGACAAAGGCGCACTTGCCTCAATATTAAAGCTTTTGGCGGACTTTTTTCAAACGGACAATCTTGGACTCCTTGACGGAGCATAGGCCGAAAACGGGCACACTGCAGGACAGACGTCGGTTCAGCGCACCTGGAATACCGGTGTCCCAGAAGTCTCCCTGCGTCTGCTGCAGCATGAACATCTCCTTCTCGTAGTCGGCGCGGCAGAGTAGCTGGCCCTGGCGCAGTACGAACTGGTCGCCCTTCTGCAGCAGTTGGCAGCAAACGACGCAGACGAAGCACTGCATGTGGTAGACCTGAGTCTGTGCGCGCATCACCAGATCGTGCGGCAGCGCCCGTTCGCCACAGCCGGAGCACTTGACCAGATACAGTCTGTCGGGCGGCGGCGACGGTCAGTGTCAGGTACAGCCGTGTCAGGCGAAGAAATCGATCAGGTTCGCGGTGTTGGCACGGCTTATCGAGTATGAGAACACACAGATAAACTTTTCTCAGTTGTGAATGTTAAAACCAGTGATGATGAAACCAGTCGGAAGCTTGCCTACTAAATGGTGTACTGACACGTGACAAAGTCGTGTATGGGGAGGGTCTAAACTGGATCTTTTTCCGCATCATCTTTTCATCACATATCTTCACGGAGACCCAATACTCTGTCAGAGTGTGAACAATCATTGGGCCATTTGTCATTGCGAACTGGCACTCATATCGTGCAGCTGTCAGATAAGCGTCGATGTGGGCTTGTGGCCACCATCCGTCGAGTAACAACAGTGCACGCCTTACGTCACGCCAACAGGTCAGAAAACTCTGCTGTGTTCGCTTGCATTCGACCCACCGTTTGCTCGCACGCATCCGTGTGATTTAAATGTGTGGGGGCCATTGAATATTTCCCACGGAACATGTAACAGGAGCGTGTAACATCATACCGGCTGAATTTCGCTTTCATTTCCGTCATGGTGACCCAGCTCTGGCTTTGTAAGCAGTGGCGACGTTTTCCAATTTAGGATAGAGTATACGGCTTTGAAGCTTTCCCGATCTCTCGCACCGCTCCTTTAAAGGTGCCTTTAGAGGGAACTTACGTTTCGGTAAATTGTTCCAATGCGGTGGTGTCCTAAGCTGTAATCAGAAGGTCCCTTTGCGACCTTCTGGAATGGTTGTTTCAGAATATTGCGGGAAAACGCACAATTCTCCGTTACTTAGACCAAAGGCGAAGTTGTTCCTTCTGCCCTCCCCATTTCTCTACGATACGTCAACACTGCATATCTGTAGTAGCTCTAACAGTTCTCCATCCGACTTACCAAGCCCGAGTCGATTCCCATAAAGCACTGAACATAAAATTATAGCAGTCCCCTGACCACCTAAATGGCCGAGCTTCATGTTTTCCAACCCTCCATGAATCATCGAAAAATCAAGCCTAGCTCTGCTTGGCCAGTGGCTTAGTTTCATCTTCAAAACTGTGCAACGCTCTGGCCACCCTTACCAAACACGGACTATGCCATACTTCACCCAGGCACCGAAAACGTAAACCATTGGGAATTCATTTACTGACCAGGTCATTCGATTGAAGTTGGCCCCCTTAATTCTGATCTTTCTTGGCCCCCCTAATGGGAATGGGACTCTGCGCAGCTCACTTTTTTTAATGGCTTGGGAAAACTGAACACAAGATGCTGTCAAATGTTCAGTACTTCAGTTTAAGAAGCTTTCTCGCCTTCTATAAAATTTGGAAACCATCATGATCGCAAGCAGATGATGCCTTTGTGGAGCTCATGCCAATGACATGTCGCGGTCAGGCGCCCGATGATCACATGTGTCGTAGGTCAGGTGTATTAAGAGGGGTTTCACTGTTCTCAGCATACTGAGCCTTGGTATGCTATGGGATGATGGATTTCCATAACGCACCGCTAGATCCAGTCGTCCAAAATCAGGCTGCGTTGAATGCAATGTTTTTGAAACATTTGTTGCGAGGAAAAATCCTTAATATTTGTTTTCGCTCCAGCAAAACACTTTCTATGATGGGATCAACCTTGAAATCAAATTTCGGATTTGTATTCGATCTGGATGCCGCCTGATTTGAATCGCATTCATCCAAACGAAATATGTCCGTCTCGTACTCTACAACACTTCCACTTACTTCCAAAGGAACACTTACTTTCGTAAGTATTCCTCTGCACTTCCGGTGCAAAGTTCCCATTAGAACATCAACCGTGAGAAATGGATAATGTCTTAAAAAACAGCTATTGAACAGGCGATAGAAGGAGTGTCCCTAAGGTATCGGCGAAGCCATAATTTCGCCCGACAGGGAGCCAAATCGAAGCCTTCAAGGGATTTCCGGTTCAGGGGGCCGACTTTATCGCTATAGGGAGCCTGCTCTTGAATTCAAAATACTTTTTAAGGCTCTGAATTCCATCTTCATGTTTTGAGAATCCATGTTTAACGTCTTAGAAACCTTGCGGATGTCTTCAGTAGGCTAAAAGCACGGAGACCTTTGGCCCCAGGGAGGCTACCTCTCGGGGGGCCATGCCCTCTTGGCTATGCCACAGCCAGAAGGGGCTATCATGCTAAAACAACTGCAAGTCCGTTACATAATGTTTGTTCGTATTATAGTAAATTACATAGAAATAACAAGATTATGTAACCGTGGTACAAGCTCAAGGCTCCACTCCATGAATTTATATTTTCGCCCAACATTCTGAATGTGTGTCTCGCTCCGCGGTCCCTGCTTCAGGCGCCGACCGCGGAGCAGGCCAAGAGATCTTTGTACTTAACTTTTGTTCGGACATGAACTATGCTGTCGACCAGTGGTCGTAAGGCCGTCCCACGCCGTACAAGATGTCGGAATGCTGTTCTCTTTATCCCATTGCATTGAGTCCTATTTACTGTGTCTTTCTATCACATTCATAAAAACAGATGTTACACACACAATCAAGCAAATCAAGCACACACAATCAAGATGCAAATCAAGCGGGACACACCACCGTGGTACGGCAATAACCATTTGGACGCCTCTTGTGGCGGGGAACGACGTGGGACCATGAGTGACCAGCCAGGAACAGATATGTTTCTTTTGTAAAATGCTCATCAAGAAGCTTATTGTTTTACACAACATGCATGGCCACAATCTAAAGAATCGTAATAAACGAAAAGCCTTTTTTGAAGCAAGCTGTAAAAGATTACAGAGTTTCATTCAATTATGTCTCATTCAATAGTGTCTTTATTTTGTCAGTTACCAGTGGATCTTTGGATGAAAATAGCCGACCTTTATCCAGCATAACACATAAGCAGGGAAGTACTAGCTCAACCATGCATCAAGTTGTGAAAACGCAATATTACAAAAATGCTTGTAACATATTCCAAGAAATGACCTAATTCGTACTCTTAGGCTCTGAACTTCTTGCTAAAAACAGGCGCAACTGAACTCTTTTTTTTCTCAAAACTTTTTCTCAAATTTAGCCCGTCTTTGTCACTGTCAGAAAACGCTTGTTTTTTTCTCATCAACTGCAAACAGGGGAACTGTGTCATAAGTTCATAGCTTTCCAGCTCGTCTATGCCGACACGACATACTAACGGATCCAGAGGCAGGCAAGCAAACTGAAAGCTTCCTTGCTGCGTGAAGAAATTGCGGACGCGCCGAGACATCGCGGATGCACTTAGAGATGTTCACGGCTGTCTGAGGACTAGTGTTGTCGAATCATCTACACTGGGTCTAACTTTTGGACCAGCGTCATGTTCTCCATCACCACAAGAGAGTGATGTGCAGAAAAGAGCTGTTTGTTCAACTCGCGATCCATTCAGAGGCTAACAATAGGCAAGACTAAACGTTGCGTGCCAAGAAGCAGCCCAAGCATGGTGAAACACTTTACAAAAGTGAGCCATTTCTGTTCCTGATATGCGTCAACCAGAGATGAATTCAACACGTCGGATCCCAAGGCGGCGAATGGGGAACATTTCAAAACATCGACGGCAGGTAATGAAATGGTCAGCTCTGATGCAGTGATCAACAGTAAACAACCCCTTGAAAAACTGCGCTAAATGATCGTACAGGTAAGTTATTTTTCCTAAGTCACTCGCTGATTCATTCACGGATTCTTAAATTATTGTCCCGTAATAACAGTCTGCTTTTGACCCTCTTTCAGCATACCATGAGACCTCTGACCATTGTTCCTTGCAAAACAGTTAAAAATCACATTCAGAACGGAAATGGAGTTGAGTTTAGAAGGTAGGAAAGGGTGTGATGATAACATATCACAATATTGTTCAATACTTAGGTTTAACCTGTGCCTACTATTCAATTTGAGGTCGATGGTTTTCAGCAACAGAACCGAGAAACTAACGCTGAACGTTTCTCGCTCGTGCCAAGTTTCTCAGGCATTCGCTCCTAAGACGCTGCAATAGTTTATATAGTCATTACTACAATAGTAGCTAAACGCAAGCTTCAAAGTTTTGAATTTGACAGGGGTCATATGGGAGAGGGTTATATCATTCCAGGTGCAACACGCCACGCTGGCGATGACATGCGTACCAAGAGCTATAGCAGGACTTTTGATCAAAGCGTTAAGAGGTAGCTGAATCAAAAGTGTAGCAGTATCAACATTTTAGTCTCGCATATCAGAGGAAATGCTGACGGAATCACGTTTTTCAATGTAGCAGACTGATCATAGTGGAAAAGCGTTTTCAGTAGACCATAACCTCCAAAGTTGTTTTGCTAGCAGGCTGATATCACGATCGGCACCGCAACCGAAGCGGGAGGATCTTTGAGGGGCGGACATGAGCTGAATTTAGTGTTATCCTTAGCAATCTGACACTTTCGCTTACCGTTGTGCGCAAAAAAAACATCACAGGTATATCATGATTTACGAAAAAATGAACCATGAAAAACCACGAAAAACAATGATAATAGAAGACAAGGTTAGCTTGGAGGAGGGCGCAGGGGCTCTTGAATCTGCGTTCAAACTGCTGCCACGGAAACAATGTTTTGGGGGTGGCAGCAGCAGTCTGCGCGCTGCTCACGCAACAATTTTTCCAAACTGACGGCGAATAACAATGAACATGGATGCTACTGAAAAGATGCGTTCAAAGTCAGCACAATTAAAAGCAGCTGTTCAAATACAAATTAAATGTAAAACCACCTTTCTAGATACAAGTCTAAAAGTATAAATAATGATGGTCAATGGTAGTTATGTAAGCATAATGGATACCAATGCGTGTATACATTAATAAAATAACTAGCTAAAACATGTAGAGATGCTTTGAAATTATTTATACCGTCACCAATCCGCATAACCGTCCTATACTTATCTTATGTGACAGCAAAAAGAGCATGAGAGTTATACAAATGAACTGTGCCACTAATGTGTAGCACAGCCTTCGCCAAACTCCTACGAAAACCGCCTTTCACTTCGATGAGGATGGAGGAAGTTGGAGGCGAGCTTTGATGAGCTATGAGGCGGTTGGATGAGCCACGGGAACGATCAGATTAGTTTGGAGGAGCTTTGAAGCGGCTAGACAAACGATGGGAGCAGGCCCATCTTTTGTTGTCAGGCACACCGAAAGAGCCGTGAACATTTTCTCCGGAACACGGCCGTGTCGTCGACATATGCCAAGTCGTCATTTTGCATCCGCCCACTTGGTATTTGATTCCATGGAACCATCGGATAAAATATTATTTGTATACCCTTGGGACGGAATACTGAAGAGCCGAAAGGGAAAATAGCGGAAGCCTCGGCGTAATTATCTTACTGCTTGTGTGAATAAATGCACATTATGCAATTATTTTTCAGACTATGAAGCATCTCTGCGAGTGTCCCTCGCGAGTCAGACGATTGCATAATTTTTTTCCCCAGAATTGTGTCGATATTATACTTTTCTGCAACATCCGAGGTGTTTGGACTTGGCGCCCACACATATTCGCCACCTGATCTCGCTCAAATGACAGTTTCCTAACGCATTCTGATTCGGTGAGCACGACCCGTGACCAGCACATACACATCTGGTATCTCTATTACAACTGCAAACAATGTGACCAATTGAGTTCGATGAGTGATATCTTACAATGAGCAGTGTTGCATACCGACACTAAATAACCAGATAGGTAGGAATGTATTTAGTGATGGGTACCCTCAGCTTCAGGGCCAGACCGTCAGACCGTCAGCGCCGTCATCACCTCATATATATATATATATATATATATTATATATATCGCATATATCGCACAATACATCTATCAAGGTGTCAATTGCGTGGATCTAAACACGCTTTCCCTGTCAAACGCTTTTGAGCACATGTACATGCATTGTTGATGTGCCGAACAACTGTTGTACCTCGTTCATGTAAGCAAATCTCCAAATGCATCATAACGAACACTGAAAACGGCCGAATAGCGTTTAAAATTTTGCAATTGACGATGGAGACCTGAGGTGATTTTCCTTGACTACAACTTTATTCTGCAGTCATTGCACGCGCCAATTGTCAACAGCTATTATCTACGTCTCGAGTCAATCGATATACAGACAATTACTATCTTTCTACGGATTGAGAATTTTTGAAGAGGCATCGCACTCACAAATACTCAGGGGAGCAAAATTGTAAACACTCGAGGCCTGCAAAATATCGGCCTTGAATGTCACTACCACCGCCACATTTTTTTGGCGCGATGGAAATGGTCTACTTGGGCAACAACCTACAACAACCCACACCGCACAATAATGATGCATTGCACTTTTTTCATCGAGCTTTCTACCGACTTCAAACAAGGACAACGTTTCTCTCATCATGATCATGTAAACGTAGACTTCCCATAAAAGCGCATTCGAATCCCTAACTTGCGAAGTCGCTCAAGGTCATGTTTAGCACATTTGTGCAACCAGTTTAGTTCGTTTCAAATGATCGCTTATAGCTGGGCCTGTCATTGTAGCCCAGCGAGACGCCGGCGGGCAGCCCGTACCTCTCATAGTCGTACTTGCAGAAGACCTTGTTGTCCTTGGTGAAGCAGGACTGGGTGAGCCGTACGCGGCAGACGGAGCAGACGAGGCACTCCTCGTGCCACGAGGCGTCCATCATGCGCAGCAGGAAACGATCCGTGATCTTGAGGCTACAGCCGGCGCAGCACTCGAGCTGCTCGCACTTGACATCACCTGGGGGGGGGGGGGGGGGAGGGGGAGGGTTGTCAGAGGGCTGACACACCCGCCCACGAAGTCACGGCCGCACCATGCGGGACATGCTGAGCGTTGTCAGTAGAGGAGACGTCGCCGAACGTCGGAGGGGCGCGTCAAAGATGGTTTCTCCGTAGGACGGAGGAGAGTAGCAGCAGAAATTGGCAGATTTCCTTTATCAGGTCTCGCCAGCTCACCACCAACACTCCGCAGATTTTCAATCGCACCGTATGCCTTGAAATGGTCTTTGCTGATGCCGATGTGAGAACTGATTGCATTGGCAGGGCGTACATAACTTCCTTACTCGTTTGGAGGCTTGACATAAATATCAAGCTTTTGGACGAGCGGCGAGGAAACGGAAGCGACTTTAAGCGACGCTTAAAGCAATGTGAGTAACCTTACGTATCCCCAGCTTTGTCTTGTCCACCAGTGGAAAAAAGCTGGGCTCTAGTTAACACCCATTTTTCATCAATCCATGTTACCTTGTGTCGATATTTGGCTTCAGTGGGCTACAGCACGAAAATATTGTGATACGCGTAACATTTGTACCCACAAAAACGTGTAACAGTGGTACCCACGAAAGTGTGTATTATTCGTACCTATAAGCATTGAAACATATTCCGGCACCATAAGCTAAAACTGGGCTAAGACCAGACGACGGCTGAAATGGGATTGAACGTGGCTGGAAAGCATGCGCGGGAAAACAATGAGGCGCTGGCACAGCAGCATTGGCCGGCTCAAACATGTGGCCCCGGATCCCACGGGAAGCTTGGAGCAGCACACCGTAATTCCATAGACACATAATTGCAAACACATCTCTGGCGGATTCCATTCGAAGCTGCCAGTCTTGTCAACGGACCAAAACACATCAGGCAGCACAGCCTTCACAGCAGACATCCCGGACAGCAGCCTTCACAGCAGACATCCGGGAGAGCAGCCTTCACAACGGACAGCCTTTGTGCAGCCTGTGCCTACAGCAGCCTTTACAACACACATCTGGGAGAGCAGCCTTCACAACGAACATCCGAGAGAGCAGCCTTCACAACCGACATCCGGGACAGCAGCCTTCACAACGGACATCCGGGAGAGCAGCCTTTACAACACACATCCGGGAGAGCAGCCTTCACATCAGGCATCCGGGAGAGCAGCCTTCACAACGGACATCCGGGAGAGCAGCCTTTACAGCAGACATCTGGGAGAGCAGCCTTTACAACACACATCCGAAGGAGCAGCCTTCACATCAGGCATCCGGGAGAGCAGCCTTCACAACTGACATCCGGGAGAGCAGCCTTTACAACACACATCCGGGAGAGCAGCCTTCACATCAGACATCCGGGACAGAGGGCTTCACAGCAGACATTCGGGACAGCGGCCTGCGTGCATCACTGGATCCTAGTCGGCCTGCGTCACAGGAGAAGGCCCAGTTGAAAGAACACAGGTGTATGCAGCGGCCAATCTTCCACTTGCTCACAAGCCATTTGCTGTCGCGGATCAACTCAGTGGGACGGGCCGAGCCAAAAACACAGCCCTCAGTCACGGCACTGGGAGGTGCAGCAGGATTTAAACCGGGCAGTGGCCTTGCAGCACAGTGGTAATAAGTCACTGGATCCTGGTCGGCTGCTGTCTGTCTGGTAGTACTGCAGAGACGCCACTGGCAGCGGTGTAGGTTTCTTTTTATCTGGACAGGGGAGGTGGGCAGCATCCCAATTTTAAGAAGACAGCAGGTCAAATCCGGGGAGAACACCCTTTTCGGGATTTTAAGGGCAGGTATAGTCATTTTACTTTCTAGCCCCCCCCCCCCACATCGATCTATTTTGCGAAACTACGCTCCTGGCTGCAAATCTGTTATCACGATTTTTTCTTGGGGCCGGGGGAGGGGTAAAGGTGGATTCAAAGCACGTCATTGCTGTGCCTTGTGCCTACATTTGTGTGGGTTTTCCTTTCCAGATACAGCATATTGTCATATTCTGCACTTTATTTGCCATTATGCACGTATTTCGCTAAGAACTCTTAACGAATCGGCTGTCGGATTAAGCCGATACGTGACAATGATTCCAATAGGTGCTCAATAGACGCATGCAGCGGAAGAAAAATAACTCAGGCGATAAAGATGAATGAAGACTCCGAAGATTAATATGAAGGGATCAGTGTATGTGGTGGAGTTGGACTGGACATACCGTCATATTATGGGTGAAGCAGATACACTCCTATGCGTGTCACAATCCAGTAATGCATAGTGTGCGGCGCAGGACACATAGGGCTGTACAGACACAGCTTATGTAGACGCTACCAACACCTGAGGTAAAAAAGGTTATGCATATGTCTACGTTATGTTTACACGTTAGCGTGCCATCAATGCATTTGTAAGTCCATCTTTCGTGGCAGTTGAATAGAATGATGTTCATTGGTATAGCGTGCGCAGTCTTTCCCAAATTGTCTCATCTCAAGCTAATTCGCTGTGGGTTTGGCGAAGCTCACCATTTCGGCTGATAGGTCGACAAACAAGCAATGCACCCCGATTGCGGTTGGTTAATAGCCGCCGGGACATCGGGCAGCACGCCTGTGTGACTTTCATCTCCCGAACCACCTCGGTCCAGGCGGGGCCGCCGTATGTGGTCTTGGAGACCGGCTTGAAAACCAGAGACTTTAACTTAGTCTTACCAGTGCTGGCCAATGTCACCTTTTCCTGATAAACGACGAAACTTGTCGTTGTGTCGTCAAACGGTGTGTATTTCGTGCTGCTGCGATTCTGGATCCTCGAAATCTGGGCCCGGTTTCAACTAATGTTGGGTAGCTTAATGCGATAAGAAAATTTCACTTGTATTGCGTTGAATGAGGCGTCACTTCGCTGTTCTTTTTAAATATCAATATTGCAGGAAACCGACAGCTATAGCAAGCAGTTAAGGTGCAATTGTCCTTTAACTGATAGAGTGCAACTTTGACGAAGCGAGCTGCTGAGTGAGCTGCTGAGAAGCGCTCAACGTCACCGTTAGCGACTGTAAAACTACTAGCTTCTGGAAAGCGCAGCACACCAGTCCCAGAAGGCCACAAGTTTCGTCGCTTTTTCATGGCATGACAATGCAAAACACGAACATCAATGCACAGCCGATGAGTCGATACACATGGAAAGTATCAGTTACCATCACATAGGTAGCCCCAAAACCCAAGCTGACAGAGAGGGTCACCAATGGGAAGCCATACGGACGATCCCCATGATCAGGGCATTCAAAAATTTGTCTTCATGAATGTTTGAATCGCATGTGTTCACTGACATAGTGTTAGCGAGCTAGACCATGAATCATACCATCTGAAAATTCTGGGTTCGGCCACGTCTCGCTATTCCAGTCCACGATATTAATAAATTCGGGAAGTTTCACGGCTATAACGGCTGTTATGAAAGGAGCACACAAAACGTGAATATGTTGGTTAAATACCGATAACAGTGAACCTGACTAGGTGCCACCGCAGTTTAAATGTGCCAGTCTCTCTCCCATAAGCCACCACGTGCTTCATGAGAGACCATGTTCGGAGATGACAACATCGACCGCTACCCGTCTGACCACGGGCAAACCCATTGGTCAGACATTGTTGAGGTCGGATAGCGTAGAGGCACATTCGCCTACGCCGTAAAGCTTGCCTCTTTATGCATCCTGGTTGCCAAGGTGTAACATTAACCCCTAAACACGCCCCAAGCATGGTCGGGTGCGCAGTTTGCGCTCGTCCGCGCACGGCCGGCCGCACGCATCGCCTGCCCAGTTTGCCAGTACGACTGTCCACCCTCTTCCCTTCAAACGGTGTTGGCTTCGCGCCCTCCCGATGCTGCGTGGTGAGTCTGTGTCGTTCTCGTCCGTGTTGTGGAAGCTCCTCCTAATACAAATATTTTACGCTCCATGAGCAATTGAAATGATGAGGGCTACATTTTAAGGGACGTCGATATTGCAGGTAAACAGCCTGTATTTAAATGCCTTGAAACGTCACACTTGTATGAAGACTGTGTTTCTTGTTTCTTGAAACTGCGTGCTGATGCTATGAATGGTGGAAAGGAACGAAGGCCTTTGTGAGGCACGTTAGTCGGACTTAGAGGCCAGGCCGATCGGTTTTGCATAGACGTAGGAGCAGGGGGTAGGGGAAAGTTTTCTCCAGCTTTCGGAAGATTGAATAAGAAGAAGAGGCTTCACGGTAATGATAGATAGAAGAGTAGCCCCTGCTTCCAGCTGTTTTGGAAGTTCCTTTGCCCCTATCTCACTCATGGTTCAATTCCCTTCGTTATTACCAGACTCGTGTTCGGTGTGAGACTGATTCAACGCTTGCCTCGAACTCTGCCCGAAGCAATCAGTTAACTCTCGCCCGGATCCGCCGTTCATTATAACGCAAACGGATGGAGCAATCGATATGACCCCTACCATTTCCAAACTAATAAGGCCTGAGCCTCGCAGAACAAAAACAAACAGTGAATTGGGCTCAGCAAGATCTTGCGATTGGTTTCGTGTTACCAGGTCGATAACTATTAATCCCGCTAGGCCAAGTCAAAGCTGAATTCTTCCAGAAGATCGGGCAAGCCCAGGTTTGCGCTTTACTGTTTACGCAGCAATGCAATGTGGCGACGTGAAGCTTCTACGAAGGTCTCGCTTCTATAATTTGGAGTACAGACGCATATACTTTTGTGTGTTTTGACCAAAACATTGAGGATGGGTGCTTCGTAGATCCAAGTTTGGTATCGGCCCCCCTGATCGGCGAATGCATCGGTTGCCCACCACCGTGCTTGACGCTAGAAGACTGCCGTGCAGTACTCCCAAAATAAACATCTTAGAAAAACAGAAGGGTTAGAGTTACGTTCTTAAGTCAAAACATGAGCAATGAATGCTCCAGAGGCTACTGGAAATATGGGCACGACTATACCCCTTGCTAAGTGAATATTGGCGAAAAGCCTTCGGGGGTCGCGGGACCCGTGCATCAGGACAAAGATCAACAACACGAGGAATCAGACACGGTCAGCGGAGTTGCTGGTCAGCGGAGTTGCGGTCTCCTCTGCTGGCAACGCAAGCTGCTCGCCTTAATTTTCTAAACACAAGTGACACTTGCTTGAGCCAAGCATAGCCTCCTCGCGCTCTCAACGCGGTCAGTGAAAGGGTAAATGCACGATAGGGCGAAGACAGAATCATTACCTCAGTGGTTACACGTCTGTCTATCATATTCTATTTAAATGGATATTTTGCCCAAACATTGGTAAGAAGAGGCATCGAACACCTTTACTGCTGGCTGCGCTGCGTGCTGCAGTATCAGAATAGCATACTGGGCCGGCTTCAGCGAACTCTGGGGCACAGCGATACTGAGCACAGGCTGAGGGCGAGGAGTCACGACAAGACACCACACCCTTCTTTGTGCGAACACTTAACCCCAAGAAATTATAGTAGCCACAATTTGTCGGTGTGTTAAGGATGGATTCAATGTGTTTAGATCACGCAGCTGAAGGTTAAGGACGGGTGTTATGTGTTAAGACCATGTAGGCGACGTGGTAAAGTTTGTGACTTTCAAAGACATGGACTGCAAAATCAACATCATGTGACTTTCAGTGGGCCTAGCTAATTAGAACACTACCAAAAATCGGTTTTCAGTTGAGTCCTTCTGCTCTGGATTAACGAAGATCATGCCTGTCTTGATTGTCATGTTCAGAACCTGAGACTTGTTTTGTCGTTATTTTTTATTTTAGAGAGCTTGTGGCTTGGGATGTATATAAAAAGTTTGGAAACTGGTGGGCCACTGCTTTGCTCTTGCTTTACGATGACAGGCTAGCCAACAACCATGCAGTGTTCTCGCAATCTGGTGAGGGCAAGTGCTCCTCCTCTTGCACGCGGCTCCTTTGCCAATGAAGACTAGAAATTCATTAATTGATGGGAGTGGCCAACGAGCAGATAATCTCTCCGGCCCTGCCCCCCCCCCCCCCTGAAGGACCTGTCAACAACCTGGTTATCATAGAGACCCGGCACAACCGGCGGAGGGGAGGGGAAGGGGGGGGGGGGCAGCAGGTGATGAGGTCATGGACCTTCGCAATTCAATCTTGCTTCTTTAGGCCTGGAGTAAGAAAGCTGGGGCACCGAACTTGATTTTTTTGCTCATAAGCAAAACCTCATGAAACTAATCGAGAGAAGCGGTGAAAACTGGAGTTTTCAAAGCAGTATTGAACGAACTGCTGCCCTTCTCGCTTTAAAAAAGGACTAGGATAATGGGTGGGTGGGGATGGGGGGGGGGGGGGGGGGGAAGGACAATGCTACGGCAATGCCTGCACATATTCAATATCCAGAAAGACACTGAACATATCCGTAAAGACGCAAGGCCTAACGCAATGGTTGTCCCACTCAAGATCTGATGCCGGATCTGCCCCTGGCTGCACCTCACACCTCACAGCGAACCCCTATACGGGAACACCGGCAATGCCGTTCCATTGGACGCGTGGGACGCATCTGCCCCCGGTTCCCAGCCGCGTCATCCGGTCAGTACTCACTGTGAGTCGCCGTCGCCATCCGCAGGGCCTCCAGCGCCTCCTGGACCATGGCGGACCGCCCTAGCGCCGCTCTCCGACCCGAGCCACGCCGACACCGAGAACGAGCCGAGCGCGCACACCGGCCAGTCGCCACGCAACAACGACCCGATGCCACACTTCCAGAGGCGCCCGGGTCGTCCGCTTGACTGAATGGGGTCCTGGAGGGCCGCGGGCGCCATTGGTCCCGGTGCGTGCGCCCCGCCCAGCGGCCGGCGCAGTGGGCGGAGCCTGGCCAGGGCGGCCGCTGATTGGCTGCTGGGACGTATCGACCGCGACGTCAGCGGGCGCCTCCTGTCCGGTGGTTGGCGTCACGGCGCCGACAGCATGACAAAACGCACGTCTGCCGGCGAACAGTGACGGAGCAGGAGAGAGCCGCTCCGGCCGCCAGTTGGCATGGCTTGATCCAGAATTTCGCCAGCTCGTGCGTTTTTGTTTTAGTTGTTTTGGATTTGATGAATGGCTATGTTCGAAACCTCGCCGAGTGTGGAAATTGTAGTATGAATGATGAGGATAATCGAGTGTATTCTGAATATTCATTGGCACTTCAGGCAGAGTAAGCGTATTTCTATTGACCAGAAATGTAAAAGGATCGGCCGAAAACAAATGTCGACAGCAAACAAGTAATGAGGGAGTGGCTCAAGGGAGGAATTCAGTCCTCTCTCTCGCTTTGGACTCAGTGGCACATAGAGGTCTCCATGGGAACTGCATTACTACCATCATTTATATTTAGAGACTCTGGTAGTCAGTAATGCTGTGCCTCCATCCTCTCTGTGACTGTGGAGTACATGTGTAAGACAGCCTTGTTACAGGAGTCTCTGAATAAGCAAGATAAGTAAGTTGTTTAGTGCACTTGCGAGGAAAATTTGCTTTGATAGTCAGTAATGCTGTGCCTCCATCCTCCCTATGACTGTGGAGTACATGTGTAAGACAGCATTGCTACAGGAATACTTTATATAAGCAAGATAAGTAAGTTGTTAAGTGCATTTGTGAGGAACATTATTCGCATAGATAAGACCGTTTATTCTGCCATTGTTTTGATAAGGGCATGTCACCGAAATATGAATCCATCTATATATACAAGCTCCCGGTCTTTTTCGAGGAAGAAGGCTATTACTACCGTCTTATGCAAGCAAGATAAGCTGTAAGTGTTCTGATTTTTCGGCATTGCCGATGAGTGGGGAATCCTTATGCTGGCCAAAACAAAACAAAAACTGTAATGTGTCAGCTATTCCTGGTTAAACATAATCAAGCAAGCATTTGCTACATTTACAACACTCGACGTCTCAAGCTGTGCTTATGGCCATAAGTGACCCTGGGCACAACATAGCCTTCTGGCTTGACCTCGAGTACGTTCCGCCCACCCAGAATCAGCGTCAGTAGAAAGCAGAAACACGTGTTTTAAGTTCAGCACCTGCTTGTGCATATATTTGAAACGGAGCCTCTGTCAGGCGCGTCGCTGCCCAACCGACCTCTCGTCGGCCAGATTACCGCTTACTCAAAGTACCAGGGCAAGCTAATGTCTTTATTCAAAGGAGCACTGCAGCCAGCGACATAGACGTCAATATTTCAAGCTGGAGAAGAAAATAATATTTATGTACATTTCATCGGTCTATACAACAATATGCAGTTTAGCTCTGCCACGTGCATTCTGTGAAATGGAACCACCAGCTTGGTGAGTAAGTGAGTGACCTGTAATTCTTCCAACAAACATGACATTAGGGAAAGCCCGATGGTGATATATTTTTTTCTGATATGATAGCATTTTTCAATCCTCCAATTTTCTGGCTACACACTCATCATGATATCAGCAGCAGGGTCTGTTGTGTCGCCGGAGTTTGGTACACAAGCAAGGACGAGCCATGCCTTCGTAAACAGGTGGGGGTCAAACTGACCGTGCGCGATCGATAGACCAGATAACACCATCCTAGTGGATAGCTTCCTCATCATTGTAAAGTAAATGTCGCAGTCATTTAACAGACGCCTGGGAAGGAGGATACAATCTTCGGGCGTTCTTCGGTAAGTTTGTTGGACAAAGAAGCCAACAGACACGATTTTTTTCTCCTCAAGTGGGAGCTTTTTGCCAAAATAACTACCACTCCATTGCATTTTTTACCTTTGTCCAGGTACTTTTCAAACGTGGGTATTCGCCCCTCCTTATCTACTTTCCGCTTCCTCCTGAACCCTCACACCAGCTCTTTTATCCGGGCCACACTGCATGCACCGGCCATGAGTGTGCTCTCACGCTCCTGGCGAGGGTCCCGCCCGAGCACCACACCATCCCCTGCGCGGGCTGAGTCTCGGTAGCGGAGGACTTCCACGACGCGCGAAGTTCCGCCACACAACTCAGCACCCTCCTTCACCACAGAGTCCTGAGTTGGTCATTACTGACCGAAACAGCTCTGGCTCCAAGAGAACCAAGCCAGCCGCGGCTTACCGCGATGATACGCGGCGCTCGGAGGATGACCACGCGGCCAGCACCGCGCCCACCGGCGACGGCCAGAGGCAGTTAACGTCAGGACCTTGTGAAAGAAGCTGAAATTAGCTACAATAATTTTGTCGTGGAGAGCATGCCGCAACACCATAAATGGTACGCCATGGGCATGCTTTCAAACCAGGTTTGCAATAAGCATCATGGGTCTGGGAACACCAGATGTGTTGATGTAGAGACATTGTCATCCCTAGCCACTCTTAAGTTTTGGTATTTTTAGCCTACATAGCTTCGGAGATCGGGGAACTGATCCAGTCCCAATCCATCCGTTAGAATGAATAGTGGGAGAGGAACAATGTCAAGATGCCTTCCATTGCGTGTCATTAACATTTGTATTTGACTAAATAATCGAAATGACGGAAACGTTGGAAAGGTAGGATTCAGATGAACATAGACCTTGGCGGTGTAATATATATCGCATCGGCATGCTACATACTTCATACTACATGCATTGGCATACTCGATGGCATTATATGACCTCCCTGCCGAAATAAGCTGGTCCGCATCACGACTGCATGATACTCGATTAGAACCGACAATATATGACTGCTGTTGACTTAACATACGCCCAATGCGCAAAATCATTGCGCCAATACTGCTTCACTATCAACTATGGATACGTGGTGCAAAACACTCGGATCTCTGATAAATGCCATTATCTCAGGGCAGATTGGCAAGGGTCGGAGCTCACTAAGTATCACGTCATCACACTTTTTGGCGGCTGACAACACTAATGCTTGCAAAACTTTTGGGTTCATTCATCGTCGCTGTTGACTGCTATGAATTTGTTTGAATGGAACGACTTGCGTAGTTATTAATAAAACCAATTCAGTGAGGCATCCGTTTCGAGAGCGATATCGAAGGCTACCACCAGGTGCAGGGGAGAAGGTCCATAGTCGAAAAGCTCATCGCACCGACCAATGGGGCGGCCTATGCCGATACAGTGCCTCGACCAACACCCGTGCAGTAATGCACCAGCGTCCGTGACCACACGTGAGCGTCTCCGAAGCTCCAGCCCCACCTCCTCGGAGCGGGCGGGGGACGGCCACGGCACCGCCAGCGGCGATCGTCGCTGCAGGCCGCGACCGCCAGCCGCGGGCGCGGTGCCCGTCCCTCATCGAGTCCCTCCCGCCGCGGGCGGCTCCCCCCGGCCCGCTCGGCTCCCCCCCCCCCCGGCCCCCCCCCCGGCGCGCTCGGTGCTGCATAGTCCATCAATTTCGCGACTGGCTGCGCGCATGAAATGCTCATGGCTGCGTGGCTCGAGTGACCTTTCAATGGGGGATCCGGAGAGACGTGCAGATTGACGCTATGTGCGGCATTGTTTGCATTCTGTTCAAGAGAGTTGATTCCTTTTAAGGCTTAATTTATGGCGCTTGAGCTCAAAATGTCTGTATGTATTTGGAGGGAGAAACCAAAACGCACATTAGGAATGCTGCATGGACTTGTATTGAGTTACATTATTTTGTGATTGGAGGTAGCTAGGTAAAATGTTCTTTAAATTTTGCGCAACGTCATGCCGGCAAGCCAAATATGCAATCAAACGTTGGAAAAGAGCAGGCAGAATCATGAACTCCTTACCAGACGGTCCTAGTGACAAGCTGCTCATATATTGATTCAGCTCTGTACTTTTCTCATTCTAGGATTTTCGTTCATGCTCCGTTTATCGCACAGCGCACGGTTTACATCCTATAAGTTGAGCATGCCCATAATATCAATCAGCTGGATATTTACCCCAGATCACATCATATGAAGATTCAGCCACATGGGCTCCCCATTTCCGTTGCCTGTAACGCATCGTGCGCTTTGTCCTGATGCACTGACATCCAGTTCGCTACGAACATATCACCAATCATCGCTTCCTTTGCATTTAAAATCGCGTTAGCCTGTAATCAGTGACCCCCACGCCGGACAATAATTAGTCCGGCTGATAGTATTACAGGGCTGTCCGTATAACCGGGCACAATGGTCCAGGTGCGGCATAAAATGATCATTACAAGCTCCATTTTTCACCCGATTACACTGACCCTCGCATCGCAGTTTAGTTTAAGAGGATGACGCGGAGTTTGACGCGGCGTGCGCGGCTTATCGGGGCGGCGCGCGCCGCGCGCTGTTTGCAGCGCGGCCCATCCCCTCCCCTCCGTCGACCACTCCGTAGGGAGCGATTGGAGCACGGGCATGGAGCAAGGGCCCCAACAAACCCAAACAAACAGCTGCTTCTTGGCGGCATCCGGCTGCACCCGGCGGCGGCTGCACCCGGCGGCGGCGGCGGCGGCGGCGGTGGCGGCGGCGGCGGCAGCGGCGGCGGCGGCAGCGGCGCAGTCCTCCGGCCGGCGGCGGTGCCGTGTTTTAGCGGCCGGCGCCGCCCGCCCGCCGGCGCGTGGCGGGGATGTTCGTCACGTCGGCTGGCTATCTGCGGAGATAGGCGGCGCCGGGCGTGTACACGTCGCCAACTCGTCGGCGGCCGTATCGGACTGAGCAAACGGCCGCCACCGGTCGGCGCAAACAGGCCCAAACCTCGCTCGATAGATAGCCGACCGGACGGCCGACGTCAACGGCTGCCGTAAATCGGGCCGGCGGACTCCCGCTGGACTCCCGACGGGCGGCCGGTTCTCGCTGGACTCCCGACGGGCGGCCGGCTC